GTTTTTGCTTCAAAATTGTCCTTCAAGTCATGGTATCCTGCTGGGAGCCCTTGGCCTGTGACCACTTGCCTACTTCTAATAGATTTTGACTACAAATCTCATACCCTTCTGCTTAGTTCTGCACTTGAACCTGAACATGTGCTTAGAGTAGCAGATAGAAACTCATTAGCAGTAATCCATCACTACTCAAGATCTTATGTCATTTGGTATCTACAGATCTCTGCATTTATTCATGAAATATAACATGTAGATTATTCCTATATTTAGATTATCCCTTAGGACTAAATTCCTTGTAATTTAAAATCAAATATCTCTACTGGGGATATTTTCTCTTAAAGTCCTAAGGTTATCGTCAGCTCTGCTTTCTTAAGTTTTTTATTGACATCAACAATAATATATTGTTTCTTTTGACCTAGGATTTGGATAGGGAACCATCTGAAAGGAAAATAGGATTTCAGATATTAGCTCTGCTTTAGATTGATCCTCAGTAGGTGAGGCAGTCTCTTCCCGGTAAGTAGTAGTGAGCGGGAGAGAAGCTAAGATGCGGGTAATGTGGATCATTAGACAACTTTCACAGTATGATTTTATTAGAACATGTTGGTGGATTTTTAGTTTTGGTCACCTAGCACCAGAACACTCTTTGTTTGGGCAGAATCCTAAAATAGACAGGAGGCAGGGTCACACATCCCACTGTGCGAGCTAAAGGGGGCAGATCATCTTTTTCCCTGACAGCTGGGGCATTTGCAAATGTTCCTGCCAAGGGCTTTGAACTTGGAGGGAGTGACACAAAAATGCAGGATGCTGAGAGATCATTTGCAGCCATGGTGGGGTGCAGAGTCCACAGCATAGAGATGACTTTTGCGGTGTGGGGTCCTCTGCAGACTTTACCTAGAGTGCCATCCTGGCTGTGCTTCAGGCTGCCTGGCTTCTCATTTCCTGCTCATTTCCTGGGCCTTGTTCTTCTTTAGCTCTGTGATGGCCTCATAAAAATTGCTTTCTGCTTGCATTGGTCAGGGTAAATTTCTGTTGCCTTCAACCAAAAGTTCTGACTAGCACAAACATCCCAGTTATCAACTACATCTACATTTTCTGTTAAAAATAACTGTTTTTCTTATTGCAAAAATTACTTATCAACTAAGAAAACTTTAAAAATATATACAAATATATATACCCTCAAACCAAAAGAACACTTTAACTTCATCACTCATACAGAGCCATTGTTAAAAAAATTTTCAAAAACATTTTTTAGTACATACCCTGCCAGACTTTTTCCCTGGGCATATGAATCTTTTTTCTTTCTTCCTTTCTTTCCCTTCCTTCCTTCCTTTTCTCCCTCCCTTCTCTTTTTTTTTCTTTCCTTCCTTCTGCTATTATAAAAGTGCTACGATGCCATGACTGACATGTCGGTTACACATCTTCACACACTTACATCCTGAGTTTGCTTGCTCTTCTGCGACAGCTGCAGCATTGCTTCTCCACGTGGGCACTGACATGATGAGTTGGTCCAGTCTAGTGAAAAGTGTTTATCACACTTCATCAGGTTGCCTTTGCATAAATATACGTAGAAGTGATAATTATCCTACACAAGAGGGCATATAAGATAATCTCAGGTAAATTATTGGGTCACAAGGCCAATCCAAGAGAATAAAACATGTGTTCCTCTCCTGGGTAAAAGCCTCAAACACCTATCATGGCTATCTCATTTGGTCACGTGCAAGCGAATTCAAAATTTTATCTTAAGGTTGCTAAGATCCAGAATTTCCAGAGAAAGTTTAGAGTACACACATACTCTCTTGAAAAGATCCAATATTTCAACTAGAAATACAATTAAAAATTTACTCATTTCTCAGACTACATTTTAAATTAATCTCTAATTCAAGAAGAGTTGTAGAATATATTTTTAAAAATAGATCATTACTTAGAGGTACTGATAATAACTGCCATTACAAAGCAGAGAATCTGAGAGGACAATTTTACTATGCATGTTCAAAATTATAAATACTATTTGCAAATAGTAAAGATATTAAAACTTCTTAGAAAGTCTGATCTCTACCTCTTATACTGTAATGAGTTTTAGTACCCTTTTCTTCATGAAGGTAAACTTCAACCCCAGGAGGACTAAAACAAATTAGTAGACTCTAAATTAATTGCATTTCTATTTTTTTCAACCTAAATTGCCTTTAGTCACAGTCTTTGTTCTATAGCTCCTCATTCCATCATTTGCTTTAAAGGCATTTATTTCTTTCCTTTACTGCCATATTTTAATACTCAAAATAAGAGCTTGAAGCTCTAGTTTTCTTCCTGATGAATGGCAAACAAACTTTTCTCTGATTGATATCCCCAAATTATCTTTAATAAATATATTTAAGAAATGGATTCACAACATGTCTAGTGATTTCCAAACAAGTGTGCAGGTGATTTTTTTTTTCCTTTTCACAATAAACCATCTCTAAGCTGAGTGTAAGATTTCTACTATTCGTTTATTTATTTTTTTTAAGAGATAGAGTCTCACTATGTAGCCTGGGCTGGTCTCAAACTCCTTGGCTCAATTGACCCTCCTGCCTCAGCTTCCCTCACACTTGCAACTCTAGGCACACACCATCCTGCTGAGCTTACTAGTTTAAAGTCACATATAATCACTGTTTTCATGCAGTGCTTTTTCTCCATGACCAACCCATTGATAAGGTAACTATTCAAACATTTAAAAAAAATTTTTCTTGCCCAAATTATATATGTGAAGATTAAAAACTTACATTTAAAAATCATCCAATGCTTTATTAGCAAAAGCAAATGAGGAATATTTCACTATTCAATCCATTTAAAAAATTATTTCTTTTTAAAAATTATTCATTCAATGCTTTACTAAGGTAAAGAAATTAGGAATATTTAACTTTTTAGATCCTAGGCCTCAACATTATTTTGTTATTCAAATCAAAATGTAGTAGTCTTCACATTTGTTACCATGGATTTCAAAAGAATAATCTACATTTCTAAAAGCTATTTATATATACAGACAAAAGAGAATATAATTAGGCTGGAGTTTTTCCATATCATTGTCTTTGGGGTCCAAGCAGAACCATGACGTAGGTAAGAGTACTGTGGCGAGGTTCCAGTCCATGTGATTGAGGCTGAAGAACAAAAAGTTGAACTGTGAATATATTAGTTTGACTCAAAAAGGATGCCAACCAAGGGTCTCCATCTTTAGAGCCCAAACAAGGGTAAAGGAGCTAAAATGGCAGCAGCCACCATGTGTGTCTGTATTTATAAAACAGTACTTTCCAACACATATCAAAGAGGCTAAGGACACCCATTGCTTATATGTCTTTGAGAACAAAACAGGCTGTTCATTTGTTTGGAATGGTTCTTGATGGAAAATACTCTGGAAGGCAGGAAGATAGCTTTCCTTCCTTGCCCATCTTTCTCTCTAGGGGGCAAAACTTTGTGTGTCTCATTTATTCTTCTCAGTGTGAATCAAACCCAGTTCCAGAGGTTAGACATTCTACATCTTTCGTAACCTAATCTCTATTGTAGAATCACTCAGTAGTTAGGAACTTCACCTGTTCCCACTCCATTTTACAATTCAGCCAAGATTCCTTGATATCAGGCTTCTTATTATATTATCTGATATGCACAGCTATTCAGAGCACTTATTTACTATCATGTGCAATAGAATGTAACTTAAGAAACAACCTGTAAAACAAGAAATATAGGGTAGATTTATTTTTTTAAAAATATTTGGTCAAGTCATGTGGAGCAAATGGGTCAGCTTTAGCTGTGTTATAGTCCTATTTCCTCTTGATAACAAAAGATCAAATCATATTAAGATTTCCTTACAAGTGAACTACAGATAAATTTATTTGTAGACTGAGCATGTGGCTCATGCCTGTTTTCCTAGCACTCTGGGAGGCAGAGGCGGGAGAATCACTTGAGGTCAGGAGTTCAAGTCCAGCCTGAGCAAAAGCAAACCCCCCAAAAACAGAAAAAAAAGCCAGACATGGTGATGTGCACCTACAATACCAGCTACTCAGGAAGGCTGAGGCAGGAGGATTGCTTGAGCTCAGGAGTTTGAGGTTCCAGTGAGCTATGATGACACCACTGTACTCTAGCCAGGTGACAGATTGAGATTCTGTCTCAAAAATAAAATAAACTAAATCTATTTGTAACAGAGAAAATTTTTTCTTTCAAAGTATGTTGGGAAAATGGGAAGTATTCCATTGGTTATATATGCTTTGGGGATATTTCAACTTCTGTATTGAGTAACATCCAGTAAAGCCTTCTTTCAATTTTCTAACACTAATACAAAAGCTCTCATTAAAATGTATAAGGTAAGATGCTTCTAAAACCAACTGTTACATTTAATATTTTGATTTAGTGATCAGGCCATGATTTTTTTCAATCCTAATTTTAGTTTGTTTCTGTATACTTCCTTTGATGGGGGTTTTATCTTTCGAAGTCTTTATCTTCAGCCCTTGTATGCTAAAGTGAGCTATTTGCTGCTTTTCAGCAGAGCTGGATGTGGCACATCTCTGCATTTGATTGGTTTGCTTTCAAAGGATTCCTCCTCTGAAAACACGGTCTCATATTGCATTGCTAGCTGTGTGGTATTAACCGTGGTTAAAATTTTACATTGAAGATGAGCATTTACCATCAAAGAGAACATAAACTTCAGGACTCCTATGTTACATAAATTGTACACACCATATTGACTTGTTTGTAATGAAGAGCTCTGTTTGAAAACAGCCTTAAATATCATAACCAGAAATAACAACTGACTCAATGGGAAGAGGCAGGTAATTTGGTGTTCACGTTTTAAAAAGAAGCCAATACAACTGAAAAAGAATAAATTCCAACTACAGAAATAGGCTTCAATAAGATTAACAAAATCTGAGGGTGACACATATGTCAGCTAAGTCAACAAGTCAAATAAATTATACTATTTATACTCAGATGAAATAAAACAATGACTAATTTTTAATAATTTTAATTTTTCATAATTTTTATTTTGCACTTCCCAGCAACTCAAGGAGTAAACATCATATTTCAGATTCCATTTCTTATTTTATCTGAAAAATCTACCGAGTAAAATGCTTATTTGCAGCACTTTACGTTTGCAATCCATCAGGTTGCAATATTAAAGTTACTACAGCTTCTTCCCAATGTGTAAGCATTCTATGTGTTTTATTTACATTCTATCACGTTTTAATTCTTCCTAAATTTTATGTTTAAGAATGAAACTGTATTGGTGTTATGTAACAATATTTTAAATTTGCAACATACATACATACTGATTTATCACTCCCTTAAACCCACGTCTCTGAAAAATAAACACAATGTATCCAAAAAGAAGAAACTACCTTGGGGTATGTGGGTAAGAGTGTAGACATGTAGAAATAGACACTGAAATACAGTTGTGTGGAAAGGTAAAGTAAGGATGTATCTATCCTTGTTGACAATCACCTCCGTGATTTATTAACAACCATAGGAAGCCAATTTAGAGCCATAAGAACTTGGTAACCCAGTGGGAATCAGGGTTTTAAGTTCTCTTAAAACTTAATGTGATTCAAAAATACCCAAAACAAGCAAACCGAAAAGCCTGGAGAAAGTGCTCCACTTAGCGCTTCCTTGGCAACCCAAATCGAACCAAATGACTCAGATGGACGATTAGAATAAACTGTGCGCCGTTCTTTTTCACTAAGTGTCTAAAGCCCATAAATTATGTTTGGTCCAGAAAACCAGGAGTTATTAGCACCCTCTTTTCCCACGTTTTAATATTCTATATATCCAGCAACAGTTCTTAATCCATGGTCTTCATTCATTTTTCGCCTAAACAAGATCCTCGGTGCCTCTTGGTGATCTTCTTCCCAGATGATCTTATATGACGGCAAAATGAAATGCCCCTTCGTGGGGAGGGTCGAGACCGCGCAGTAACTCATCCTAAGGTGGAAGCATCTTGCTTTTATTTACTTGTTTATTCGAGGGGTGGCGATAGCAGCGGCCTGACTGGACGAGGCGGGAGGGGAAGGGGCGTGCTGGCTACGAGCCGCGGCCGGGGGCCGGAGGGCGCGGCGGAGGTGGTGGCGGGCTACACTCCCCCAGCGCGACCCGCCGGACCCAGAATATGACGAGCCCCTCCCCCGCGCTGCACCCTTGACCCCTCCCCCTTTCCAGGCCTCTCCTCGTCCTGCCCGCCCGGCAGCCTCCAGACCTCGCGCCACCCACCTCCTACCGCAAGCCCGTCGTGCGGAGCGGGCAGGCCCCGGTGGGCCCCGCAAAGCCGTCGGCCCGGCGGGGACCCCAAACCGACCCCTGCGGCCGCGCCCCTCCCCCTCGCATAACGCACCTGCGGCCCCGCCCCCGGCCGAACGCAGAGGCGGCGGCGGGCTGGCGAGGCCAGGCTGCTCGGCCCTCGAGGCACAGTCACCTTCCCTTCCCCCGCCATTCCGCCCACCCCCCTCACTCAGCCACCGAGCTGCCGCCGCGCTCCTCGGCCGCCCCGAAATCTAAAGGGGTCCGTCTCCGGCACCACAACCAAATGGCTGAGCCTCCCTGGCCGGCTGCGCAGTCCATCTATTGGTCCCTCCCCCCCCCGCCGCCGCCACCATTGGCTGTTGCCCGGAGACCCTCGGCGGCGATTGGCTCAAGCTGCTGCCGCTCGTCCGCGGCCGCAGATCCCGCCTCCACGGTGATCAGGTTAGTGTGCGCCGCGGGTGCTGGGGGCTCGAGAACCGAGCGGAGCTGGTTGAGCCTTCAAAGTCCTAAAACGCGCGGCCGTGGGTTCGGGGTTTATTGATTGAATTCCGCCGGCGCGGGAGCCTCTGCAGAGAGCGAGCGCGAGAGATGGAGATGGACAAACGGATCCATTTAGAGCTGCGGAACAGGACGCCCTCTGATGTGAGCATTTGCCAAAAATATCTCTGTCGGTCCATTCTCCTACTTTGTGTGTGTGTGTGCGTCGGGGGGAGGCACTTTTTTTGAGGGGGGTCGCCCGGGAGGTGCGGGTTTGGAGGTCGGACTGCAAATGAATTGCAGGGCTGGGGTTGCAATGCCATCCGAGCCTGTTCCGGCTGCCGCCGCCGCTGCCCTTGGTGTGTGACTACCTGTGCGTGTGCCCCGCGTGTGCGAGTGTGGGTGCGAGAGTGTGCGTGCGAGTGTGCACCCATCGGGGCCAGCGGGCGCACGCGTTTGGGTCGGGGAGAACGAGGCGAATAACCCTCGGAGCCCGCTGCTCCCGTGACTCCGTCTGGGGGGAAGATTAACGAGGGAGGAGGAGGAGAGGGGCTGCCTCCCGGATTTAACAACAAAAAGGGGGTTTATATTTTATAAATGTATCCCCCTTCCCGCCCCCCTCCCTTTCTCTCGCCGCTCGCTCGCACACACAATAAGTTTCGGGCTTCGCGAGTCCGGTTTAGTTTCTGATAAATGTGGGCCGAGGCCCCCGGGGAGAGCGCGTGGGGAGGGGGCTGCCGCGGAGTTGGGAAGGGCTCGAGTTTAAAGTGCGTCTTCATTTCTTTGCAGTGATGAGGCGAGAGACGGGGGAGCCATATTTGTAACTTTGTAGTGTTCGTGAACGCGCCCTTTCTCTCCCTCCCTCCCTTTCTCTGCCTCCCTGCCTCTCCTCCTCTCGCTCCCTCACTCTTTCCACCCCACCTTCGGGCCAGATGCTGATGTTTCTTCCTCTCCTTCGAAGGGAGGATAGACTGGGAGGAGGGGAGGGATTTTCGAACGTGCCGAGGCACAGATAATCCCCGCGCCTGCCCACCTCGCGCGGTCGCCAGTGCAAGTTGCCCGCAGGCTGCGTCCGGTCCCCTCGCCGCGATGCCGGCCGTCGGGCCCTGGCGCCCCGGCTCGCACCCCTGGCCGCCGCTCTCAGGGGCGGGCTCCCGGCAGCCATTCGGCGCCCGGCTGACAGACGGGCTCGGGAAACTTTGTCAGGACGCGACTGCCCGGAGCCGGCGCCCGCGGTGGTGCTGGCTGGGTCCGCGTTCCTGCGGGCGCGGCGAGCACGCAGCTCCGGATGGGAGTTTGCCCTCGCCGCCGCCGTCGCTGGGCAGCGCGGGAGCCGGCCGGAGGAAACTTGCTCGGGTGGGGACTGGGGGCGCGGGCGGAAGCCCAGGCCGAGGAGGGGAAGGTGCGGGGGGCGACTGGAACGCTCGTTTTTATTTCCGTCTCGCTCTCGCTTGCAAACACGAGTGTTTTATGCGAGTTGGCGGCTCCGCGGTGGAGCCCCCGGGTCTGGCGCGGAGACGCCGGCCAGCTCCCCACGCGGCGCCTCCGGGGTGACGGGGCCGGCGGACACCCCCGCCCAGCCTCCGTGGCCGGGGTTCCCCCGAGTTGGGGATTGGGCAGCACTGCGCTGCCCCGACGCCCCTCCGGCCCGTGAAACCCGAATCCCGGGGGAAGGCAGGCCTTGCTTCCTCTTTGCCTAGTTCCTCCCCCGAACCTGAGTGAGACTTTTGAAAACAAGATCCTTTTTGTCTCCCCCTTGCCATCGCAACGCAGCTGCGGACCGTGGACGTGCGAGTGCCTTATGGCGCGCAGGGCGGGGAGAGGGGTGCCGCCGGAGGCTGGAGTTTCCGCGAACAATCCGCGGGCGCCTCGGCTTTCCCCGGCGGCCTCCGTCCGCGCTCGGACCCGGAGCCGGACCTTTGGGGGCTGGGCGTGGTGGTGGGGGAGGGGGCCGGGCCCGGTCTTCCCGCGTACTTTCCGGAAGCCCCCTGTGCGGAGGGGGAAGGGCGCCAAGTCGGGGCCGGGGTAGCGGCTGCCGGCCGTGGCGGCGACGTTCGCCCGGCAAGCCCGGTCAACACCGCCGGCCAACTGGGAGCGAGATCGAAAGCGGGTCGAACCGGCTCTTTAAACTTCCCGAGTGTGTGCGGGGGGAGGGGCGCGGCGCCGAGCTGGAGCGATTTCTCACGCTTCGCCCCCTCGCCCGCGCGGCTCCGGCCCACACGCCGGCCCCCTGCCTCGAGGCGGGGTGGGGCGCGGGTGGCGGGGGAGGGGGCACTTTCTGCACATTTGGGGGGAGGGGAGAAAGCGAAAGAGGGACAAAAGGGGTGGGGGAGGAGGAACTGTATTTTTAAAAAATCGTTCTTAAGACAAATAACTCCGGGAGAGCGCCCCCTGCGCCCCTCCCGCCGCGCTCCCCCGGCCCCCACACACCCACCTTCGGAACCTCTCCCAACTCGGATCCGGGGGCTGGTGGCCACGCCGCGACGCCGAAATAGGACGAGCAGCCATGTTTCCCGGGTCTCTCGCAGCCCGCCCCGCCCCTCCCCCACGGCGCGGCCGGCGCGGCGCGCGGGGCTCGGAATGCGGGCTCGGGCTGGGCTCGGGCTCGGGCTCCATGCGGCGCGGGGCGCGGGCGGGCAGGCTGCGGGGGCGCCGTTCGAGCCGGCCGGGGCGTGGGTGCCGGCGGGCGGGCCTCCTGCCTTCCCGAGCTGGTTTCCAGCTCCAGGTGTTTTATTTGTTACAGGATTTTTAACTGCTAGGCCCGCCCGGGGCTGGGCCCGAAGGGCGCCGTGGCGTTGTTGGGGGGCGGGGGCAGCCGCCGAGGCCCTGCGCGCCTGTGGCACGACTGCCGGGCGCCGGGCTGCCATTTTGTCACCGAGGCTGTTGTCGCTGTGGGGGGCGGGGGAGCGGAGCCTTGCGCCATCGCCCCGACGGCCTCGGCGCGGAGGCGGCAGGGGGGGCGGGCTCCTGGGACCCCCAGTTGTGCTCTGGGCCCCGCTGGGGGTTTTCGCCCCGCGCCAGCGGCCTGAGGCTTGGCTGGCGCGCCGGGGCGGCCGTTGCACTGCGAGGACGACGATCCTCTTCGCAAGTGTCCCCCCACATCGCGCTCCCTGCCTCCCCGCCCTGCTCTCGGGTGTCTCGCCGTCCCTCCTGCAGGCGTTCTAGACGCAGTTAAATGTGGCCTAAGGACTAACCGTTCGCTGTGGTGTTTGCTCCTTCGGCGGAAGTGGCAGGGTGAGAGGAAAATTAAACTAGAGGTTTCTTAGGGCTGGGGGAGGGGGTCGCACACGCGACTCTAGTGGCCCTGACCGAAGCCAAGGACGGCAGCCTCCTGCCCGGGAGGGAAGAGTTGTCGTTGTGTTGGGGAAACGCCCTCCTGGGCTGGGCTCTCCGGGAAGGTAGGTCGAGCTCCGCGTCTCAGGTGGGTGTTGCAGCGCCCTGCGGGGTAGGGAGGCCCCCTCGCTCTTTTCTTGTCCCTTCCGTTTTTTATTTTTGCATAGGGGACGGCAGCTACGATAGTGAATGTGATCCTAAGCCCAAAGAGAGGGAATAAAGTTTGCTTTTGAAAATGTAAACCGTCTTTCTCTGGCTATTGACTTAAGAGCCAGAAAATTTGTCGTGTTGCGTCCTCCGGACGCTGTCATCTATCTCTCTGGGACTTTTAAAAAGCCCATATAGGTGCTGGTTAAGCACCTCACTAGTTGAACTCTGATGTCGACATAGAGACTAACTTTCATGGCGGTGTCCAGCAAAGGCTGTCTTGGAAGCCAGCTTTTACTTGACCTTTGGAATACATCGCATGATGTTTTCCAGGCTGACTTACTGCCTAATTGGGTTCAAGTAGCATGATATTAACTTCTGTTTATGCAAGCCAACCAGGAATTCACAGGCAGAAAATCGAGCGTGAGTTCCGTATAGTCACGGTCAGTTGAGCTCTGTTACTGGGTGCTGGTGCTGATGGTAGTTTTGAGTCTGGGGGCTCCATGGTGAAGCTGGGCTCTGGGACTACACAGATGTGGATTTGAATTCCCCCTGCCACGAGGAGGTAGGATGATTTGTTTAACCTACCCTTGTGACCTTGGGCAGATTAATTTAACCTACCTTTTTGAAGCTTGGTTTCCTCACTTTTAAAATGGGAACAATAATCCCATTTAATCAGTAAGTAGCAACAAAACTGGTTTGATCTGGCCCTCAGTGAGTGCTCGGTATGTGATAGTGTTATTCTCAGGGAGATATGCTGCAAGGCGTGACTTAGAGCTTCTGGGGCTTTAGAATAACAACAAACAACAACAATATCAGCTAATGCTTACATAGCATCCATGCTGTGTCTGGCCCATTTCTAAGTGGATTATACATATTAATTTAGTCCCTACAACAGTGCTGTGAAGTAGGTACTATTGTTATTTTCATATAACAAGTAAGGAAATCAAGGCATGGAGGGTTATCACATGACTAGTGAGTAGCAGAACCAGGATTCAGTCTCAGACAGCCAGTCTGCATACTCAGCCTGTACACTCTACTGCTTGCCTTGAAGCACCTTTTTTTGTAAGACACTGTGGAGAAGAGCTTTTTTCCCCTCCAACTTTTCAGGGGTGCCACCTTATGAAGGGAGCGGGTTTCCTGTTAATTGAACATATTGTAATAAAGACTGGGTAGTCTCCCTGGTGAAAATGGGGGTGTGGTTTAGGACCAGAGGCACTGCAGATTGTCATTTTAAGGGGGAAGCCATACATTTAATTTGGTTTAGTACATCACATCTGGTTAGGCTGAAATGAATCTGGCCTTTTAGGTGCTGGGGGACACATTTTGGGTAATGAGAAGACAAGCAGGAGCTACTCTTATGCAGTCTGCATCTATAGCCAAAAAACTGAACAAAATTGGCCTGTTCTAGTATTTGGGACATAGCATACTACTAACATCTCATGGATGATCTCACTTAATCATCCCAACAACTCCTTAAGGGTTGTGCGATCTCTCTATTGTGAGGATGAATAATCTAAGGTTTTGAGAGGTCAAACAACTGGCAGGTAGCAGAACTGGATTCTGTAAAATCAGAGGCCCCTTTGCTGGACAGTAGGAACTTTGAGGATTTGTATAGCCCATTGGGGCCCTAACATTGCCCATTACCAGAATTGCCTGAGGAGCATGTAAAATGCAAATTCCTGGGCTCTGCCCCCAGGCATAGGTTTACCACTGGGGTTGTCAAACTACAGCTGAGCTGTAGCCCATGAGTTAAGAATAATTTATATATATAAACATTACAGTCAATTTGATTATATGGAACACTAACTTTGAATCCCAATTAAGTGAAATGTTATCCCCTCCAAAAGAATTTTACTTGTCTCACTAGCAGACCTGCATTACAAAAAAGAAATTGTACTCAATATATTTTGAATTTTATCAATAAAAGAATTGTGGAAATTCTCTCTCTCTCTTGTTTTGTTTAAGCAAGCCATATATTAGTGTGCCATCTTCCAGATTCCTGTGTATGTGCCCTTTGACTAATTGGTGCCTAGTGGAAATCACCCTTAATCTAAGGACTTCCATAGGAAGAGACATTGTCTTTGTTACCTATCTAGTATTGAGCACTCCTCTTTTCTAGAGAAGTTCCGAATATTTCAAAAAATTTTTGTGTATTTTGTACTTACATGGATACTCTTTAATTCTAGATGTCTTATCAGAGGTAGAGGGAAGGAGCTTTGAGGCCTGCCTAAGGCGTGGCAACTGTGTGCCCAGTAGCTAACATCAGACTCTCAGGGCACAGATCACTGAAAACTGCAGATAGTACTGGAATCTCTAGCTTTGGTGCTGCTCTTGCACTGAGTATATTTCCTGGGGAATGAACCAGCAGCAAAGTGGCTTTGAGTTTCAGGGTCCTAATTTTCCCTCTAGACTCTTGTGCCTGAGCTAATGAGTAGAAGGAATGGATATAAGATTGGCCAGGCTGAGGAGATAAATTCAAGGGGACAAATCCTAGTCCCCATAATGGCAGCCTGTGCTATGACAACAAACTACAAACCCAGTTCCCTCTCTTGGCCGCTGTTGCACCACCAGCCTCTCGTGGTGACTTACTCTAGACTTAAACAGTCTGCAGTCCTTTGTAATCCTAGGGCTGGCCACGCCAGAGCTTCAGTCCAAATTAATTACTCCACAGTGAAGTAAAAACTTTGGAGCTGTGGTGAGCCTGTACGGAGACTGTGTATGATCCTTGTCAGATGTCCCCTTACCATTGTGCCCGCCCTCTCTACCTTGGTGCAGTCACTTAGGAAAGGAGCAGAGAGCTTGTTGCTGAGTGGTGACTGGGCCCTGGTGGGATGAACTTGGCCCAATTGTCTGGCCTGAATTCTGACTTGGTT